TGTTAGGGAGGTTCTCCTGATGCTGTGTCCTTTGGAGATGCCCATTAGGGGGCAGCACCTAAACCTCCCTAAATATTTACCCAAAACAAAGAAAACCTGACTGACATTCTGTTTAATCACTTATACTTAATCCTCCACTTTCATCCCAACAGAACTTCAGAGCACAGTAAAAACAGAGTAAGTCTAAAGTCTATCACTAAATATTAAGCACTCTTAGAAAGGGGGGGGGGTCTTTAAGGGCCATAGAACCACACTTTAAGGAAGTATTTGAATGCCTACATCATTCTTGGGAAGGTGCTTCTCCATGACGTTTCTTTAAACAGCCTTTTGAAAGAAAAATAAATACGGTTCCACTGTTGTTAAGTCATAGTGCTTCTTTTTGTATTACAGTCTTAAAATGAAGGGTTCCTGGCTTGGACATACGGTTGTAGGAAAATAATTTGAATTGATATACAAACTATACATTATGTGGAGGTTCTTTAAACTTTAGAAAGCTCCTTCACACTCACGCATATGGTTCTTTATAATGATGTTTTTTCAAGGGTTCTTTAGCAAGGAAAATGGTTTTATATAGGACCATGAACACTCAAAGAACCATTTGCATGATTAAAGGGTTCATTAAGTGATTCTTCAGATTGATGGAGAATGTGTGGTAGATGGTTCTATGTAGAAGCTTTTTGAAAAGGGTTCTATATAGCACCTTCTATAGTTACGATATCAAGCCTAAAACAACAGAAGAGCTCTTTTTGGTGCTATATAGAACCGTATACAGCACAATCTCCATTAATCTGAAGAGCCATTTCATGATGCAAAAAACCCTTTAATCATGCAAAAGCTTCTTTGATCATTGTTCTATATAGAACCATTTTCGTTACGAAAGAACCCTTGAAGAACCATCCTTTTTAAGTGTGTACATCCAAGAGTGTCAATAGAACACGTTTATAGAACCTTTTTTACCGCAATTATTTCATTTACCGATTAATTTCAGCTTTTCTGCATATTTGTTTGTTAACAATAACATTTTTATTTGTAAACAAATTAAACTGGAACGGGCTGTTTTTTGGAACCGTTAAGGATGCTAATCACGCATGCGCACTGCGGCCACCGTCATAAATCTCCTGCAGCGATAAAGCCTCTCCGCTGCCCAGTCCGCCTTTAATTACTTTGTCAACAGAGAATAATTGTAATTGATTTCTGCTCCTCTGTCCCTTCATCCCCTTCACACCTTCTTCCTTAGCACGCAGTGAGGCAAGTAAAGGCAGGACGTCCCGCAGAACCGGCTCCAGTGGCCTACTAGTGCTGTTAGAACTTCCCAACTGATACCTGCGTTACAGTATTATCAGATTCTAATTAACCTGCAGTGCTGTGGAAGATAAGCGCGGCTCACTTTACTGCAATATTTGATTATGGAAAGCCGGTTGTGTTTTTGCGAATCAGTCAGAGGAACATGGGTTATCTAATCAGGAATAAATCACTGCAGCTGTGTGTCAGTGAGTTTCGGCTCATTGGGGGCGGTGACACTCCTTGACCCCGAGATAACAGCCTCAGTGATCAGTCGTTAATTACAAACAAGGCCAATATAATTAATTCATTACCCAGCTTTACTTTCCCTTCTGTATCACTAGCATGTGATAAGAGTCCACTGACGAAGCTCTTCATACACTATTAATGAGAAAAATACAGCTGCCAAACAGGGTGCTCTCATTTGATTGGGTGATTTTCATCATTTTCCATCTTCCTTGAGAGGCTGGAAGCGCCATAATAACCGCGATTGATTGATTGAAGTGTCAAATCTAGTGAGGCTAATTAGCTACCTTACTTAACTAGTTAGCTTAAAGTATTGGCTGACATGAAATACGGCACTGTTCTGCACTCACACACAAAAATTTCTACATTTAGACAAAATCAATATATTTTTCTGCTATTGTTGAAAACATGAACAGAGCAACGTGTTCCACGGAGGGTAGCCTAAATGCTAAGTAGGGTTAGCTTCCTAACTAGCAAGCTCTTCATAGAGTCATCATTTCACAAATATCAATTGATATCATACATCCCACAGTCTTAAAAAGTAAAGGGTTCTTTAGTAAAGACAATGGTTCGTTATACAACCTTGAACAGTCAAAGAACGCTTACGGCTCTTTGGGGTGTGATATGGTTCTTTGACATTGTAACAGTGGCAGAACACTTTTGGTGCTATATAGAACACTTTTCAAGAAGGTTTTGTATAGAACCATCTACAGCACATTCTCCATCAATCTGAAGAACCATTTCACCATGCAAAGTATTCTTTGAGATGTTCATGGTTCAATACAGAAACATTTTCTTTAATAAAGAACCCCTGAATCTTTGCTAAGAGTGTAGTTTACTTTCTGGTGCACGTATTGGTGATGTAATAGTGGTGACTTTATCTTCACCAGGAAGAGTAAAGAATTTGCTAAATTATCGCCTGCTTCAGCTGCAAGTGTTTCCAAAAAAAAAAAGGGACCCCCTTAAATACCATTAGATTCTGTTGGTAACAAAACGGGACCATTTGGTACTGGACTGATGGCCAGTGTGAGAAGCATGGCTCCAGTTTTATGGCGCCAAAGGTTAAAAAAAAACACCCTAAATTAGTCTTTAACCTGTTAACTGTGGCCCCATTTTGGCCTGAAATAACTTACCAAAGTAAGGGGGGCGCTGTTCCCAGACTTTGGGCTACAGTCATAATGTCGGTCTGAAAGGAAACGCTCTCAATAACTGTATGAATTACTGCCACAGAGTAAATGAATACCTCCCGCCGTCTAGTCCGTTTCACTGAACACTGTTTATATCACATTTAGAGCCAGTTATTCATTTAACCTAATGAGAAACTGTAGAACAGAGTCAGTTTATATCACAAAACTAACATTTAGAGTCAGTTATTCATTTAGCCTAATGAGAAAATGTAGAACAGAGTCACATTACCTACATTTACAGTGTTTTTCCTATCTAATGAGATTTATTTAGTATTTGTGTGAATGGTCACACTGTTAGGTTAGACCAGGTGGAGTTTTTTGTTGTGTGACAAGTTTTACTTCTACATTTCTTTTTTATTAGCTACAGCAACATAATCCAGCTTGTGTATAACTTAATCGGTAAACTAACTCAACATTATATATCTGTTTTGAACCAATTATGCTGATGATTACCATTTAGTGCAAGAGCAAAACTTTACAGGAACAAATGCTGCTCACAATAAATTATAGTGAACAGCTACTAATTATAATTATGCTACATGCATAATACTGTCATGAGAATTGCTGGCTAACAGTTTCCAGTCATCATTAGCCACATTAGCACATTCGCTCACTCCACTCCTTTCAGGAAATGCCACAAAATAGTTGTGAAATGAAGAGACACAAACAGGTAACATCACAGATATTTAGAAAAGGGCAGGCAAGATATTAAAAAGAGCCACAAAAAACTTTATTAAGCAAACCAAAGCCTCAGAGCCAGCACAGTCATCAGTTACCTTCATAGAATTATGATTCATAATGTGGTTTTTGAGCCCTGCTGTAGTATCAGCAGCGCTGTCCAATGAGCTATGCAAATACAGATCTACTGTCAGCATTTTCTAATGCAGCTGACTGGCCGCTGGGTTCGGAAACAGATTGAGAAAAAACAGAGCAGTTCCAATGTTCAGATCTGGGACACAGATCGGTAGGACTTCAGAAAGGTGGTTCAGAACTAGAGTAAAATATAAAATCTCTGTTCTGTGCCATAAACCGGCAAATTTAGTCTTTTCATCTCACAGAAATGGGTCACTAGGGGAATGGTCAGAAATGAAGTCCATCTAAGCCTCTAAACAATACTTAACTGGATAAAAAATGGAAAGTAGGCTTAAAAAATGGTTCCTCAAGGTTTTTTTTTAGTAAAGACAATTGTTCTATATAGAACCATGAACAAATTTGCATGCTCAAATGGTGAAATGGTTCTATAGATTGATAGAGAATGTGTTGTGTATGGTTCTACAGAGCACCAAAAGGGGATCTGCTATTGTTGCAAGCTTGACATTGTGAAAGCAGAATCCTTTTCGGTGCATCAATCTGAAGAACCATTTCACCATGCAGAGAACATTTTGAGCATACCAAGGTTTTGTTGGGTGTTTATAGCTCTATACAGAGCCACTGTATTTACTGAGGAACCCTTGAAGAACCACATTTTTTAAGAGTGTAGACAAGACTGCACAATTTCATTAATCGCTATTGTGATATCGGCCTTTGCAATATTCACATCCCAGAAGGCTGCAATATGTAAATGAGCCCTCAGATGGCAATGGAAATCTACCTTCCTGCAGAGTCTAGTACCAACCACAATCTGCCACACATGCTCCAAGTAATTAACTTCTTCTGAAGTCCCTGATTGCCTGGATTAGAAGTGTTAGTTTTAGCTTATGGTGAGCGTAGAATGCAGATGCAGGTTGGAACTAAACTCTGTTGGAAAGAAGATCTCCAGGACCAAGGCTGGTGACCACTCAGTAAATAAGTGCTGTGATCATCCTGACCAATCACAGCTCCAGATGAGCTTCTAATTCATCAAAACACCCTCGGAAACTCCTCTGGAGCTGTGATTGGTCAGGATGATCACAGCACACAGTAAACAGCACTGATGTAATCCAACAGAAGGCAATTATTTTGGTAAAAACAATGCATTCTGACCGTGTCTTTCGTTCACTTATGAGTTTTAATATACTGCAAGATCTACCGCAATCACAATATACAGCAATATAATCACAATATGACATTTTTGTCCAAATCGTGCAGCCCTAATCGGAGAGAATAACCATCATCAGCACTGGACTTTGACACTGAGAGGCACTTCGTAGTTTTGACAGATGCTGACATCTCTAAATCAGAAGCAGGTTTTTCTTTCTCACTGAAGGCTGTAAGTTTGCCTCCAGTCAGCAAGGTTTAGAGTCACCAGCAGCGCCCGGGGATCCTTCCTGTTCTTACGAACTGTGATACGGCCTGGCAGCTTATCACCTAAACATGGAAAGGCAAACCGAATAAGATTAAAACAAGGCAATGAAAAACAGGTCATTAGATGATGACAACAAAATCAAGATGTAATGTATTATTTCTGACTCTCAGTTCACTGAAATGAGGAGAAACTTTTAATCCAGACCATGATGGTGTCTTTGTAAAAGCAGAGATATTTTCTTACAACCCCATTTTCAAAAAAGTTGGGATGCTGTGCAAAATGTAAAAAGGAAACAGAATGCAATGAAGTGCAGATCGTTCAAACCCTATATTTAACTGAAAATAGTAATAATTAAATTAGAAATTTTGAAAAATTATTGCTACTGAGTGCTGACTGGTTGGTGAGGAGAGCAGCTCGTTGGCTGTTCATGCTCACTGATGTCACGAACATACATGATGCGCCATTTTGAACTCCTATAACTCAAGTTCAAAAGCTCTTAAAAATATAACAGCAGTGTTAAAATGTTTTATGCTGTTCAGTGTTCAGAGAATGAATGTATTCTTTTATATTAAAAATGTTTAAGCATTTATAAAATATGATTTTGCTTGAATGCTCCATATTAACCTTTTCATTTTGGACTTGGTCAGGAGTGCCCTCTAGCGTTTGAGAAACCCAGAAGACATTACAGAGTGATAATTGTCCTCTTTACAAGTTCTCTGGCCTGAGATCATCACCCACAGCAGTGAACGTCAAGCTAACGCGGTGCTAGACAGCATATATTCACAGCACAGCTGCAAACAGTGTCCTGCCGTACTCGAATCTCACTAGGGCTGTGATTTTGGAGATTTGGATTTTACAGCCCCCCATCGCCACCACCCCCCACCCAAAAGGCGAAGCTTCGAATATTCACTGCTGATTACTGCTGAAGCTCCGGAGCCCAAAAAATGTTATGCGGGACAGCCCTAACTTCAAGCTGTCTATAAAGAATGTAAATTAAATGTAAATGTACATAATTTACATTATGTGGCTATGTGGTTAAATATGTAATGCTGGAATTTACATTTAAGTTAAATAATAGCAAAATGACAGTAACCCTCTACCAGCGCTGTGTGGTCTGATCTGGCCTGACAAAGTTACCTGAACGCTAATACATCTTATTACACTTTTATTTTCTGTCCTAACCTTTAAAGGGTCACGCTTCTAATTCTAATGACTGATCTGAGTGATTAAAACGGTTACTGGACACGCTGTATCACTGTGATGTCAAACTGAAGATCCATCAACACACACACATTTCTCCTTTTTTGTTTGTTTTACAGTTTGACGTCACACGCTAAACTCGAGTTTGATGTCTCATGTACAATAAATCCAGTCAGTGAGAGCCTGAGGGAGACAGTCTGACACACTGATCAGATCCAGATGGTGGAGGACACACACACACACACACACACACCTTGCGTCAAAGGCCAGAAGACAACAGTGATGATCATAACAGATAATCACTTTGATTAACTTCACATTCCACTGCCGAGGGGTAAATGAGTGTTTATTCATTCAGCAAATACACACATACACACAGTTCTGTGTGCTGGTGTTCCAGAGGAGAGGAAAATGCTGACTGCAGTGATTTAAATTCTTTTCTGCCACGAGACGGAGGCAGCAGAGCGATGATGACAGAACAGTCACTACAGAGAGAGAGAGAGAGAGAGAGAGAGGGAGGTAGAGAAAAAGAGAGAGGGAGACAATGGGGAGAGAGGGAGAGAAAGACAGAAAGAGAGAATAGGGACAGAGGGAGGGAGAGAGAAAAAGAACGGGAGACAGAAAGAGAGAAAATGAGTAGAGAGGGGGAGAGGGCGAGAGAGAGAGGGAGAGAATGGGGAGAGAGAAAGAGAGAATTGGGAGGGAGAAAGAAGAAAGCGTGAGAAACAACGGAGGAGAGAGGACAGAAAGATAAAGTGTGGAAAAATGAGAGAAACAAAAAGAGAAGGAGAGAGTGGAGAGAGAGGAAGAGAGAAAATGAGAAAAAGAGAGAACGGGGAACAGGGAGACAGAGAGAATGGAAAGAGAGAGAGAGAGAGAGAGAGAGAAAGAACGACAGAAGGGAATTGAGACAGGAAGAGGAAGAGATAGAAGAGAGAGAAGAGAGACGGAGAAAGAAGAGGAGAGAAAGTGAAAAAAGAAAGAGAAAAAAGGGAAAGACAGAAAGAAAGAAGAGCAAATGAGGGAGGAGAGCGAGAAATAATAAGAGAGAAAGAGGAGAAAGAGAAAGAGATATAAAGAAAGAGAGAGAGACCAATAAAGGGTCAAAGTTATTTATTTTTTAATGAAAGGCGCGGATCCAGTGGACGGCGCTTTCTCAGTTTTCTCTCTGAATTAAGACACTCTGGCTGGTCGGGGGGCTGACAGGGGTGTGGAGTTCAGTGTTTTTGCAGTGAGTCGTTTAACCAGGTTTCAGCAGAACTAATGGTGAATATGAGGCCTTAGAGTGAATTATCTAGCAGCACTGTGAGAAGGAATGTCCACAGAACATTCACAGAACGTCAGAGTCACGCTGAGGAATTGCACAGCTTCCAAATGTAAGTTCATTAGTTTTCTAGGCAAAAACACTCAAGAAGAGCTGAAGACAGAATATTAAACAAAATAATAGTGTACATACTGGCTCTTTTAATTAAAACCAGCCATGCAGTCGGAGAGCTGATGGACTGCTGCTGTCCCACCTCCCTAATACTGCATTTAGTCATCTCACAACTAGCAGGAGTGACAACAACATCTATTAAAGTCCCATCAGTGCATAAACTGCCTGTGTGTGTATTTGTGGGGTCAAAAACAATACTGCTGCTCAGGATCTGTAATTGGCAGCGTCAAAGGGCAAAAACACACCCAAAGTAATGTTATAAATGTAATAAATCAATATGAAACATCTAAATCAGGGGTCACAACCCAAATGTTAAGAAGAGCCATTTTGTCCTTGTCCACCTTGGCAGCCACAACATTTTATGTCCATTTTACAATCTTGGCTGTAATATGTCTCACTATGTGCTAATGTGCTAGTATAAGCTAACAAATATAAACGCAGACTTACTTTACTCTGCTTTAAGCTTTAGCTCAGCTATAGCTGCTGTTCTCGCATCTCCAGCAGGAAACTTTTCCAAAAGTGGAATAATTTCTTGTAAAATGTCTCTTAACTTTCAATTTTTTGCAAGGCTGAAGCTGGCGAATGAGAAGCAACTTTAGCCTCGTGACTTTTTAATGTTTGACAGTTTCTCGTTGCAGATTAAACATATCAGCAAACCAGCTGGAGTGATTATAAATGTAAATAAGTCCATTCGTCTCCACATTATTGATGTTCGTCTTAAATCTTTCTCTTTGCCTTTTCGTTAGCTACTAGGTAGGCCAGACTGTTGTCTGCATTGCTATGGTGACCAGCAGTCTGTGCAACAACCTTCAGGGTAAAAGGGTGGATTAGCAGTTATACATTATTTCCAGCATTTAAGACATTTTACTGTTAAAACTGTGTTAGAACGATCAGCAAGAAGGAGAATTATTTTATTTTCACCTGTACCATGTTGCCGACCCCTGACCTAAATATACTAAGAGAAAGTCACTAATAAAACAGCAAACGCTTCCATCAACACCATTACGCATCACTACCCCATCTGATTTGGCCGCAAGATGCACCTACAGTGGCATGCAAGAGTGTAGGCACCCTTGGTTCACATTTCTGTTACTGTGAAGAGCTAAGTGAGTAAAAGATGACCAAGGCATAAAAAACATGACATATTTCTTGAATATTTCAAGCAATATTACTTTTTTATTTCCATCTTTTACAGTAGACTTTGGTGGTGTCTATTTTTTCATACTTTAATACATTCCAGACATTTTACCTAGGTATACGGTACATGATGGTGTTTGTTATTAAGCTGAGATGAGCTGCTGGTGAGAGAAGTCACTTACATGCTTTTACGCTTTTTGCTGTTTCGTCTAGCATTATTTAAAAATTGTAAAAAAAGGAGTTTACCTTGTGTAGTTACCAAATAAGTGGATACAGTGCACAATTTTCAAGCCAACATTCAATAAATGTTAAACTACACTATATGGACAAAAGTACTGAGACACAATTATTGAATTCAGGTGTTTTATACAGTCTCATTGCTACAGGTGTATAAAATCAAGCACCTAGCCATGCTGTCAGCCTTTACACATATTAGTGAAAGAATGGGTCGCTCTCAAGAGCTCACTGAATTCGAGCATGTTGCTGTAATATGATGCCATCGTTGCAACAAGTTAGTTTACAAAATTTCTTTTCTAGATATTCCACGATCAGCTGTGAGTGGTATTATTAAAAAGTGGAAGTGTTTAGGAACCTCAGCAACTCAGCCACGAAGTGTCAGACCACGTAAAGTTACAGAGCGGGTTGCTGAGTGCTGAGGAGCATAGTGCATAAAAGCCATCAACACTCTGCTGACTCAACAACTGCAGAGTTCCAAACCTCCTCTGGCTTTAACATCAGCACAAAAACTGCACTGGGCGCTTCATGACGTGGGTTTCCATGGCCGAACAGCTGTACTCAAGTCTTTTACCTATTCTGTGGAGTGACGAATCACGCTTCTCTTTCTGGCAGTCTGATGGACGAGTCTGGGTTTGGCAAATGCCAGGAGAACGTTACCTACCTGACTGCATTGTGCCAACTGCACATTTTGGTGGAGGAGGGATCATCCTATGGGTTGTTTTTCAGGGGTTGGACTAGGCCTCTTAGGTCCAGTGAAGGGAAATCTTAATGCTTCAGCACACTAAAACATTTTGGACAATTGTGAACTTCCAGCTTTGTAGAAACAGTTTGGAGAAGGCCCTTTTCTGTACCAGCATGACTGAGCCCCAGTGCACAAACCAAGGTCCATAAAGGCATGGCTGGGTGAGTTTGGTGTGGCCCTCATAGAACCCTGACTTCAACCCCATCAAACACCTTTGGGATGATCTAGAACAGAGACTGTGAGTCAGGCCCTCTCGTCCAACATCAGTGTCTGACCTCAAAAATGCTTTTCTAGATGAATGGACAAAAATT